GCTGAACATAGCGGACAATGAGGACTACTGAGACCTCAAGAACAATGGCAATGGGTTTTTGATCCTACTGCACGTATTGGCTTTGTCGGAGCCTAGGCAGTTTGGATGCTCACCTTACTAGACCTGGATGGAGGTGGGTGGTACTTGGACTTCCCACAGGGCAGGGAACCCTGATTGCTCTTTGGGCTGACAAAGGAGGGGGACTTGGGTAGGGGAGGGGGAGGGAAAGGGGAGGCGGAGGTGGGGAAGAGACAGAAATCTTTAATAAATAAATTTAAAAAAAAAAACTACTGCCTTGGGAATTTGGGAAAGAAATGAAGCAAGTAAGAATCGGATGACCCTTAACATGTGTGCCAGGAAAAACAAATGCACTCAATTTTAGGTGGTTTTTCCTTCTATGGAGAAGGAATGTGCAAGCCAATCCTGTGGATCCTAGCTTGCTGCGGTTTGTGTGCTGTCAGGTTAGAAGTACAGTATCTTCCTGCTTGGAGTTTTCTATTGAGTTTAAGGTCTTTTGGAGTCTCTGAATATTTATATCCTTTTCTTTGTCTCATCATAGTGTACATCATAATTTCCTTAGTAATAATCCAATGGAGTGTTTGCCTGCAAATATCTGAGAAAGCATTGTCTACCTAACCACAGTTGCTAGGGAGGATGTGGCTCTCAGGCCTCCTTTTGGGACCAATTGAAAAGTCAAAGGCTATAACCCATTTTCCCTCTACACGATTACCTTTACTGGGCTATAGAAAGGGCTCGTTTCATTTCATTAAAACTCTTTGAGTAATCTGACCATAATTGGTTATCTGATTTGCTAGGTTAAATAATGGGCTGTAATTGAGTCTGTGTCATTTGCAGAGGCTGTGCTGCTCTTGCCTTTGCTGCACCTCCCATCTCCTTCTGTTTTTCAATTAACCTTCCTTCCTCTTTTCTTTACAGAGTAAAGAAGTTGGCCAGCAGCTCCAAGATGATTTGATGAAGGTCCTGAACGAGCTTTATTCGGTAAATCAGATCGGCTGCCTGGCTTTGTGATCATAGAGAGAAGCAGCATTTGAAAGTTTGCAGCCATAATAATGTCAACAACAGAACTCAGTTGAGGCTGAGGACAGTGCACATTCCCTATTGGGGGTGACCCCACCCATATATTTTTCCACACTCAATTTTTTTCTAAACCAAATGAGCCAAAAATATTTTTTCCAGTTGTGCAATCTTATTGTGACTTCATCTGGGGCACCACTGAAAGAGAGCAGTGAAGGGCTAGGTTACCAGCACAGCTGTCACCCTTACCAACAAGCTAGGAACCCCAAACTTCATGGCAAAGAATGTAACCTACATTGCACTACTTCTTGTTGGAAAACATGTATAGTCTTAAGTTATGCATCAGATCTTATATTCATTGTGGTTTGAGTTAGAGAAGATTCTGTAAAGGGAAGCACAGATTCCTAACGTCTGCAATGTGAAGTACTGTTTCAGGCCAAGAAAGTATTGCAAAAACACAGCAGAGAGGTAAGCTATGGACTTGGAAGAAACAGCGAGTCTACTTCAAACTCTCTCAGACTGCAGTCTCATAGGCAGATATATGCTATGTTCCCCAGGAAGGCTGGTGGTTATTTTGTCTCAGTTATGTTTTATTAGTTATATTGAAAACATGCACCCACCAAGGAAGTTCCTGTTGTCATAAAAGGAATGCTTCAGTTGTACAACTTGAAGCTTTTATAGACCCTTTCCAAAGTTTGATTGTATCAACACTGCGTCTAATTTTCCAGAGTTGCCCTACTCTTTTGGAAGGTGAAAATGATTTTCTGTTTGCTTCTGCCTCACTCCCTCTTACCCCTTCCTTGCTTCACCCCCTTCCTTCACAGGATGGGCAGGCAGTGGTAACATGCGTCACAAGCATTTGAGATCAGAGAATTCCACATTCTTGTTCCAAAAGCCTAGGTGTGGCCATTATGTCATGGCAACTGTTGGTAAATAGAGCAGAGTGGTCATCTTATTTGCCTCCAGTGATGCTCCAATTGTTTTGAATTTCTACTCTGTGACTCTTATACTCTGAAACCAAATAATAGCTGGTACCTTTTGTACCCCAAGTTTTCATTTCTCTCAAATGAAGTTAATACTTTTTAAAAATAGAAGCATGACATTGTGAGCCATTTTCAAACTGAATGAATTTCCTGAACCTTATCTTTTCATTGCTGTAATTCTCTTTATATTTAGAGCATCTCAAAGGTACCAAGAAGAGCTGAGACTTGCTTCCCTAGAGAATTCTCTAGGACAAGTGACAAGTTATTATAGGACTCCTTTTCCTTTCCCAATACAAAGCTTCTTGGGCCTTTGCTATTTGCTGCTGTTGCTCAGGAGTCAAGCAGCAAACCTCAGACCAGCTCAGACCCAGCATACTACGTTTGCAGTGAGGCAGCGGAGGAAGAACTAACTTAGTTTACCCGGTGTTGTAGATCACTTCATAAGCTTTGATTTAAAAAGCAAGTCATAGTGTATAAATTGTGCTGGAATGAGAAAGAAAACTGTGGAGCTTGCTGGTTTGTCTGATAAAGGACAAGCTGGGAGACCTTACCCCACTCCCTACTTACTTATTTTTAAAAGATGTTTTGTGTGTGCATTAGGGACCATTCTTGGAAGTTGATTCTCTCCTGCCACCTTGTGGGATCTGGGTATCAAACTCAGGTCATTAGGCCTCTACCTAGTCAGTTAAGACTTCTACGATTAGTCTGCAGATCAATATTGGCTAGTTGCTTTTGTGACCACCATGTGCCTTCAGTTAATACAGAGCATAAGGCCTTCTCATTGGCATTCACATGCAGATTTAGTGAGTGTGCTCCCCCCTGCTTTTCCGTGAATTGGTATACTTGTCATTTGTCTAAGTCCCAAATAGGACTTAGATATTTACCTCTAAATAAAAAGAGAAAAATAGAAGAGGACACCAAGAAGTTCCAGAGAGGGCCAAACAGTCTGGTACAATGAGTCTTAAGCAGAGTGATCGCCTCTCCCCCACCCCCACAAAATGGAATGTGTAGTGATGTCTGCTGATGTTTTCAGTTGTCACATCTGAAGGGTTGATAGCCTAGTAACATCTAAAAAGTAGGGGTCAAGTATGTTGCTAACATCCTACAATGTACAGAACAGTTTACCACAATAATTATCCAGCTCCAAATGTCAATAGTATCAAGACTGAGAAACCTGGGCGTGCTGGCTATAGACCACTAACTTAGACCCCCAAGGTTCTCTCCTGTCCAGACTATGAGCTGCATACATGTAGAGGGATACCGCCCACTGCAAAAGTCAGCATGATGATGAGAGTTGATGTGAAGATTGTGGGTTTTCCATCCTACTCTTGCCCAGAAGCAGCAGCAAACACCATATTCTGATACCTGCATGCCATGTGGCTGTCAGTGATCAAGGAATTCATACTTCCAAAATATCAAACTATAGTTAAGAGTCAAGTGAGCTTGAAGATTCTGTACAGGTCACTAGAAAAGTTGCAGGATGGAATTAAGAATTGTTGCTTATGTAGGATAAGATTAGTTTAGGGCTGATCTGAAAAAAGGCCTGAGATTAGGGTGACTGTCCATCCCCTTTTGCTTGTTAGCCTCGTGCTCATAAGAGAGAATCAGATGTGGTCAGACAACTATCATTCAGCATTTGAGAAGCAGAGGCAGGTGGATCTGTTGAGTTCGAGGTTAAACTGATCTATCTACACAGTGAGTTCCAGGCCAGCCAGAGCTACACAGTTTCCTGGGACGTATTTTTAGTGCTGAATTGGTAGTCTTGAGGAAAGCAGGATGTTAGTCACCCTGCATGAGATAGCGGTTTCCTCAAGTAGGAAGTTGATACTACTGCATGCTGGCTTTGGAAAGCTATTTGCTTTACATAAACTTTTTAGGTGTTAGGAAAAGAACAGGGAGAGTTTCTTCCAAGAGCATTTCCCTTATTTGCTCTGTGTAAGAAAGCTCTCTGCTTTCACTGATCATGTCAACAACAGAAATTATTTGTGACTCATGTGTCACTGGAAAAGAGATCCAGTTATTAAGAAACCCTCTCTTTTTCTCAGTGCTCTTCTTGCAGCTGCCCTAACACCCCTGAATACTCATCTGAGGGGACCAGTTGCTCAAAGGTTGATAATCTAAGTGCTTTCAAACCTTGTTGACCCAAGGGGTAGAGCCCAGGTAGTTCTAAATAAAGATGCCTCTGAACAAGAGATTAAGAACCCAACCAAGTAGCCAGCTGTTCCCCTGCACCTTCCTCTTCTGTTTGAAGGGGCTTTGATTTCCCTGACTTAGCATTTGGTGCCAGGGGGAGTTTTCCCACAGCTGTTCTTCAGAGAGCAGTCCCAGTGATTCTTGTGCATATGTATGCTGGTCCGTTATCCCCCCCCCCCTCCATCACAATGAGCTGGCTAGCTTGTAAGCCACGGTAAAATGGTTTTCATTTTCTTTCTGATGTTGTAGGAATGCCTTTGAAGTCAGAGCTCAGTGTTTCCCAAAGAACTCTGGGATTGTCTGCCTCAACTGTACAGAAAGGCTGTGTCTGGAAAATCCCATGAAGGCCCCACAGGAAAGAGTGTATATGGAGGCAGGGAAGCCATATGGATTGGCTATGAAGAGCCAAGGAAATGCTAACGAGGGGAGGGAGAGGAGAAGAGAAGAGATAGCGGGACTGTCTTTACTCCAGAGGTGTTAGGCTTATGTACTATCCCTGAATCCCTGAGTACGTCTCCTTGACTTGGTGCAGCAGCTGGTTGAAGAGCTGCTTTAAATTGAAAGTCAGCACCTGTTCCCTTGAAACATTGTCAGCTAGTAGTCCCCAGATACTGTTTGTCTGTTTGACCCTATCATTAGGCTCTAGGGACACAAAGACAAGAGAGAGTGCTAAATTCAAGGCGTTTCATTTTCATGTTGGGAGAGAGAGGAAGCAGCAAGCAAAATGAGGTAATGCCTTTACAGATCTGGTCAAGCTCCTTGGAGAAGTACAGGAATTAAATCTTAATTGCCAGTTGCCAAGAACTCTTCAGTTTTTCACCCTATATTCTCCCTAACTCCCTTCACTGACTGAGGACTTAATTTATGGTGCTGTATCTTTTCCATTCTCATTCATCTCTCTGGGGCTCTTATTGATAAACTTTTCAGCCCTTTTTTTTCTCTCTAATACTGTGTTTCCTGCAAATTGCCTATCTTGATCTTGCTTATCCTAGAAAACATTAGGAACTTGTGTGTGTGTGTGTGGTGGTGGTGGTGGTGGTGGGGTGCTTTAGAGACAGAGTTTCTCTATGTAGCCCTGGCTGTTCAGGAACTCTCTCTGTAGACCAGGCTTGAGGCCAGGGATCCACTGCCTCTGCCTACCGAATGCTGAGACTAAAGGCATATGCCAACACACTAGGCTGCCTGCTCGTATTTTAAAGTGAGGCATTTTATATGACATTTCCCAACTATGGAAGAGAAAGCAAAGAAAAAAGTCATGCTATCTTTGAGAATTCAGTTTCTTAGCTTGGATAATGTTTTATTTTCTTTCAATGAGAGGTTTCTTTACATTCTTTGAGGGCAAAGAACAATATAAGCTGGTGTTTTATTCATTGTTATCTGGTACGAGAATTCTTTGAGTGTTCTGATCTCTCATGTTCATTTGCCATGTTTCCTCCTTATCCTGTACTTCATAAAATAAAAATTCAATATTTTAAAAATTACTTTTAACACTGGGCATTGGTGGTACATGCATTTAATCCCGGAACTTGGAAGGCAGAAGAAGGTGGATTTCTGTGAGTTTGAGGCCAGCCTGGTCTGCAAAATGAATTCCAGGACAGCCAGGCCTACAAAGAGTTTCTTTCTCGAAACCACCCACCACCAACACACAAACTACTGTTATAATGCTTTACTCTAGTGATTAAATTCCTTAATTACATTCAAGTGAAAAAAGGAAAAAGCTCCTCATCTGTCCTTCCTCAGCCAGGAAAGCAGATGCCTTTCTTACCTCCTAACAGGAAAAGTTGTGATCTAGTCAGATCCTTCCAAGAAAAGCCTCTTTAATTCCATTGGTTGTTGGTATTCAGAGTATAGGCAGAGTAGAGCTTCCAGGAAATGTCAGTTTGGAGTAAGGTGAATATTTAAATTACTCTGTATCTAAAATGAGACATAATTGAGACTGCATTGCACCTCTTTGTTATTCCTTATTGCATCTCCATGTGATCCTAAGTACATCCACAAGGTCCCATCTTTCCCCAGCCTCAGCACCACTGACATTCTAAAACAGACACTTTATGGACTCTCCATGTATCCTGTCTCTAGCTACTAGCAACCTCTAAGTTTCTAAAGTCAAAAATATTTCCAGACATTGCCAGTTGTTCCCTGGGGTCTACGCAGCCCCTGATTGAGGCACTGCTCTCAGTTGAGCAGTTCTCCCTTTGGAATTTCCTCAGCTGTCCTTTGTCTTGCCTCCCAGCTAGTTCAGCTTCATTTCTATGCAAAAGGCTGTCACTTAGTAGGTAAGATGTGGACTTTGGAGTTAGACAGACCTAGGTTTGAATTCTGACTGCCATTTACTAGTTGTAAGACTTTGGGTGCCGTAGGTAATGTCATTGAGACCTACTTCCTTAATCATTAAAAGTAGATATACCAACATGTCTTTCATAGCGTTATCATGAGGATTAAGTCAAGTGGCACACATAAAACTGCTGGTAAACAGTGTGCACTGAATGCTAGAGATTATTGCAAATATTGAGTAGTGAGTTTCTGTTGTCAGCCACACAAGAGTACACCCTACTCCTAGACTTTCTATTTCTCCTCTTCAAATAAACTTCATGGCATCAAAGTTTCAGCACTCAAGAATTTCCAATTGCTCGATTTGTTATCAAGTGTTTTAATTTGGAAGCTGCCTGTGTGGAAACAGAAATTTCATGCAGAGTAGGGTCAGCCCCTGTGTGACTAGAAGTAATATATTTGGGAGCACTGAAAATTACCTGAGATTCAATCTTCCTGGCCTTCTTGCTAAAAAATCATATTTAACTCCTGGACAATAGCTCTTTTGGAAAATTTGAAAATTACATCCTCCTTCACCCTCCATTTTTTTTAAGGCAAGGTTTCTGTGTATAGTGTTGGCTGTCCTGGAGCTTGCTATGTGGACTAGGCTGGCTTGAACTGACTGAAATCTTTCTGTACTACTTCTGGAGTGCAGGAATTAAAGACATGTGCCACCACACCTGGCCCTATGGCCTTCCTTTTATATAACTTTGTGCTTGTGGCCAATCCCAGTTACACGTATATGAAATTTCTTCTTTCCTGCCTCTTACCTGAATTGTACAGTCTACAGCCTTCACTGGACATTGTCTGGGGTGTAGGATTGTTACATGAATGAAACTAACAGGGTGGGACATGGGGGGTCACTTGGTACAAAGCCAAAAATATATTAACTGCTCAGCAAGTAGCAGTTGCTATTGATGTATTTCTGTGAGAGCAAGTGTGTAATGGAGATAAAGCAGACCAGAACTTTTGAAACATTTTCTTCTTCCTTGCTTTCTATTTGAAAGTTATAAAAATATAGACTACACCTTTGGTCATGTTGCCTTTTGAGGTGTTCTTATTTCTTGTTTTACTTAGCATTATAAGGTGACTTAGCAATAGAAATTACTGAGCCAATATAAAGGTCATGCTTACAGATAATGATGAATAAAAGTAAAAAATGATAAAATTAATATGAAATCATTGTAATAGCATAGTCTAAACTTACATGTAGTCCTTAATATACATGTGCTGAACCAGACATTTCTGGATTTTCCCCATAGAAGAATGTGAATATTGCTTCATATAGGATAGGTCTGGCTGAGTCTATTAGTCTGTAAAATAGAGTTGACGCCATTGGCTTGACCTCTGGGTGGGAAATGTCTTGCAGGTCATGAAAACATATCACATGTACAATGCCGACAGTATCAGTGCTCAGAGCAAACTAAAGGAAGCAGAGAAACAAGAAGAGAAGCAAATTGGTAAATCAGTGAAGCAAGAGGACCGGCAAACTCCACGCTCCCCTGATTCCACTGCCAATGTCCGCATTGAGGATAAACATGTCCGAAGGAGCTCGGTGAAGAAGATTGAGAAGATGAAGGAGAAGGTATATGTGCTCTGGCAACTGTAGAGACAGAAAGGGGTGCCCAGAAGGCAAGATTGGTAGTAATTTTCAAGTAGGTATCATGAAGAGCTAAACAAAGTAGCTCTGGGTTCCTTTAGTGCCTACTGACCAGAGTCCTTCTGTGTCTTGCCATGAGTCCTGGCTATTGGAAAAACCTAAGCATATGAACTCCCAGACTTTACCTTCAAGTATATTGACAGGAATCAGTAGTCACTTTTCTCAGCTCATTTTCCAAATCAGGTGAAATGTCTTATTGCTTTGAGAAACAGGGGAGACTGTGGTGCTTGTGTTTCGGTTTAGATACCAGTGTTCAGGGGGAGAAGTAGAAGGTACCCTCTCCAGGATGACAGCAAGGATGGAGAATAGTATGTGAAGATAGACTCAAACCACATTCATCTCATTAGTCAGACTTAGAGTTCAGCTTAAAGCAGATGTACACAGGGAGTAGCAGCAAGTGGAGGCTCTTGATGTCCTGTCCTTCATCTCTCACATAACGTTTTCAACCTCTTTTTAAAAATGGGTCAGCAAGATGGCTCATCAGGTAAGTGCATTTTTCACTAAGCCTGACAACCCAAGTTCAATCCCAGGAACCCACAGGATAGGAAAGAGATGGCTCCTACAAGTTGCCCTCCAATTTCCATAAAAACACAAAGGCCTGTATGCATTTAAACACACACACACACACACACACACCACTTCACATGAAATAAGTAAACATTTTTAATTTTTTTAATTAAAAAAAACCTAAAAGTGAACGTATGTTTTCTTTTCAGCGACAAGCCAAGTACACAGAGAATAAGCTGAAAGCCATTAAAGCCCGGAATGAGTACTTACTGGCTTTGGAGGCAACCAATGCTTCTGTCTTCAAGTACTACATCCATGACCTGTCTGATATTATTGATGTAAGTACTAAAGCTGGGGTGGGAGCATCTGGATGTCTGATGTAAGCGCATCACCTTTACACAGCGGATCATGCCACCATCTTCAAATTGTTCTCAAAAAGGCTGAGATGGCTAAACACAGAAAGAGGGAACTAGTGACTACATTTCTGAAACGAGGCAGGATGAGCTTCACACTGCTATTTTCATGCCGCACAGCATTCGTGAGAGAAAAGCAACCATCTGTAGCTATTGACTGACACCCAGAGAGTTTAGTGATTTATCCAGAGTTAGTAAAAGGATGGGACAAAATTGAAACCAAATTCTGATTCCTAAACCCATGTTCATGACTGCTGTGCTCTTCTGTTTATCAAAAACTAGTCTCTTACATCAGACTGTCAGAAGCTTGTGGAAAGCAGCAACAAGAGGAGTTAAAATGCCATGCTTATAGTTACATATCCACTCCTGTTTCCTGGTGTTTTCCCATCTCATTGTCACATCACCCTTACTGTCTTAATCTGTCATCCAGAGAGTTAAGAGACATGCTTGCCCAAGGTTATGGGTTTGCGCTGTGCTGCAGATTAGTGCCCTGTCTAGAAAACATCCAGATGCTACTGATACTCTGCCCTGTTCTCTTTTGAGATGTGCCGCAAAAATGAAAGAGAGAGAGAAGAGGATTAGTTTGCATGTATGTTTTGTAGGCAACCATTTGTCTTTGACCTCCTGGGTTAGTCTTTGCTTTGGTTTCTTATTGCTTCTGCTCAATCTCTGTGTCCTAAAATGTCTCTCACATGCAGACTGCAGTCTGGCCCAATTCCTGGGCAAGCTTTATATGAAACTATATAAGCATACCCTTTCTCATGCCTCCTTCCAACCGCCAAAGTGGGTCTAGAGCCAGCAGATTGAGCATCAGCCGTCCAGTCTTAGGACACCAGCAGTATCCGTTCTGAGACCTGCTGTTTGCCTTAGGTTCTTGGCAACAGCAGCTGAGCTTGCAAGATTCTGGTCCAAATTGCACATGACCTTGGTTTCTTCATAAGTACACCTGCTGTGCTTTACATCATGTGGGGAATCTGGGCTCAGATTCACTATTGTATAATTAGTTAGCACATCTTAGGCTTGCTGCTCAACTATTCTGGAACTCTGCTCTATTTCCTACTCCTCTACCCCTAGTAAAATAAAGACCTGGACAGTTGAAATCTGCCCTATATCAGGGTTGATGGGAACGTCTCTAAAATACAGCCTGCTTTCCTTTCAGCAGGGAGTTTTGATCAGCAGGTTTTGGCCTCCTAACGCCTTAGATATCATCGTCTCAGCTGGAAAGTGGAGCCTTGGTCTCTGTTCAGGCTCCTTTGTTCTCTCTGCTTGTTGATGCCAATCTGAACACTGTCCTTCAGTGGAGGTCAAAACCCTAAACCAGTCCTTTTATTCTTCTGCTTCACTGTTGGTGGAGACCCATTCTCAGCATGAGGAAGACAGTCACTTTTTATGCTCACTTTCTGCTGTTTACCCCACATTTGGTAAAATAAATAAGATTTAAAAATTAGACCAGACAGGGTATTGTACCCCTTTTACTGGGTTGTCCTCTTTCTTTTGTCTCTAGAGGATATGTGTACCAGTTTCAATAAATTGCTTACTTCAGGAGAAAAGAGGCTTTTGCTGTATGAATTACAACCTTTGTAACAAGTAGGCACTTCATCAAGCATGGGCAGATGTCTTACAAACCATATAAGAAGCAAACTGTTCTGTACTTTTTTCCCTCAAAATAAAAAAGTAGCCCGCTGAGAGCCTAACTTTGATAGGTTGTGATTTGAAGAGCGTTGGAAAAGAAGACAGCCTTTGTAGTGTTTATTTGACAGGCATGGGTGTAGGGGTGGTGAACAAGTCCAGGGTGGCAGCATTCCAGGCCGTGAGCAAATTTGTTCTTGTTTGGGTTGTATTTTGACTGTATCTTATTTTATTTTTTGTTTGGTATTTTATTTTTGTAGAACGAAGGTTACTATTTTTGTTCTTGGGGATTTTTTTGTTTTTGTTTTGTTTTATAGAGACAGGGTTTCTCTGAGTAGCATTGACTGTCCTGGAACTTGCTTTGTAGACCAGGCTGGCCTTCAACTCACAGAGATCAACCTATCTCTGCTTCCCAAAAAGCCGATACCACTACTATTCTCCATAATCACTTAGTTCATTTATTGGCAAGGTGTGTTCAGCATCAACGTTATAAATAGAATGTAACTGTTTTCACCTAAGACATAGTCAGTCACACACTCTAGTTTTCTCAAACCATGATCCTTTAAGGGAGCAATAAAATCATTTTTGTACGTTTAACTTATTTTAAATGATTAAACTAGACTAGAGTAGAAAATATCAGATCATATCACAATATTATATGTCTTAAGATCTTTTTTTGAAATTTTTATGTTAGATTGTGTGTGTGTGTGTGCTTATGCATGCATGTATGTATGTGTGTGTGATGCATTTCTTACTGTGACTGTGAGGTTAAGGTTAAAATGATGGTCACTGTATGTCTCTTTTTAGATAGAAAAGGACAGGAATCAAGACTTACTTTACCTTAAATAGTAATATGTAGCTTAGCACATAGTTCATTAAAGTGGGAAAAATGGTCTCCTAAGTCAAGATTTGCTTTTTAATTTTATCTTTTTAATGTTCTTTACATGTGTAATTTACATTTAATGATGAACTAAGTTGATTGTTTGGTTTGATTGTTACAGTTTGAAGAGTTTTTGACAAATTTACATATTCTTGTAACCTGTATTTTTTTTTTTTATCAAGAAGTACCATTAGCCACCATGGCAGTACACACCTGGAATCTCAGCACTTGGGTGGTGGAAGCATTAAGGTCATTAAGGGCAGTCTAGGCTCTGAGACTATTTCACAACAAGGAGACAGACAATATGAAAGATACATTCTCATTACTTCAAAAGTTCTTCTTTCTTAACTTCACGGCAACCACTGTTCCAACTCTTTCATCCCTAAGTTAATGTTAACTGTTGGAGAATGACATAAAGCTAGGATTATACAGAATATAATATATATAATATATTATTTTATTTGCTTATTATTTGAGTGTGAAGATGTACATACCACAGTGTATGTGTGGAGGCAAGGAGACAACTTTGTGGATTCATTTTTCTCTTTCCACTTCCACCTTTATGTGGCGTTTTTCATTTCTGTTGCTTTGATAAAATACCTTAACAAAAAGCAACTTCAGGAAGAAAACATTTATTTAGTTACAGTCCCAAGTTATAGTTCATAATTTTGGGGAAGTCAAGGCAGGACTCAAATAGCTAGTCATATAACATCCTTAGTCGAGATAATAAATGTTCTTGTCTGCACCTGCCTGCCACCTGCCTGCTGTTTGCTTACTTGCTTGCTTTCAGTTAGTTTTCTTCTCTCGTTTACAGTTTGGAGCTCTATAGAGGGAATTGGTCCTGCCTGCCATATAGGCTGGGTCTTTTTCCATAAGTTAACACTCAAAGCAGCCCTCCACAGACATCTCTGTAGACCAAGTTGATCTAGATAATTTCTTGTTAAGACTCTTCCCAGATAACTTAGGTTACATCAGCTAGACGATTAAAACAAACCAGGACACATGGGCTCTAGGGATTGATCTCATGTCATCAAGCTTGTATAGCAAGAGTCTCTACCCTCTGAGCCATCTTGCTGGCTCCAGAATGTAGTTTTTTTTTCCACCCAGGATTTTTTTTTAGCACCATCCACATTGTTTGCATCTATCAATAGTTTCTTTCCTTTTCATGCTGTTCTGTGCAATTAAAAGTACCCAAACTGTTCTGTAGCAAAAAAACCAAGAGTGAGTAAGGAACCTGGGTGTGTTGGCATCATGATCTCAATGGTATCCAGAAGTTGCTTCAAGACATGGGATTTGTGTCATTCCAGTCCATTGCCGCACGTGTCATGTGCCACCATTCTACCTTTTTTCTACGAGTTTAACTCAACCTGTACTTAAGGCACTGAACATAAATAAAAAGTACACAGCTTTGTCATCATGGGTAGCTGAATGTTGTGAGGGCCAGGTACCTGGATAGAAAGTCTGTGATGCCATCCATATACACCCAAATTGGACATGAAAGAACTTGGTTTTCCCACTATGATGTTTTATTGAAGGCCGTTGTTTTTCTCTTCCATATGAACTTGAAGGGGGATATAGAACACTCATTTGTCTTTTCTAGGTCTTCTCTAGATTCTCTGAGGGAGAATAGCAGCTGATGAAGGGATAATGAACTGTGGACTAAAGTTCACAGATTGGGACGGTCTGTTACTCAATTTTATAAAAAAAATTTATTTCTCCTGAGAATTTTTATTGCACTTGTGTAACACAGAAAGGCCAAGGGAACCTAGCATGGCCATGGGACTCATCAAAATCAAAATGGAAAGCATGCTATGTTTCCAGTATAAACAAAATTGTGTGTTCTCTCTACTCATTGGGATTATCCTGGGAAATATTTATATCTCATTTACTCAGCCTTGTCAGATACGGCTTCTTTGTCGAGGGCTTAGTTTTACCCCTATAAATATGTAGATGGTCAGCGTTCTGTCCACACTTCCTAGGCTAACTGAGGGCATGACAGAACCAGAGGGCACATTCTAAGTTTGATCCTAACTAACTGGCACAGAAAAGCAAAAGCTAAAGGATGGTCATCCAGAGGCAGAGCCCCAGCATAGGAAAACTCCCTGAAAGTCTTAGATTATAGACAGCAAAGCATGTGGGTCAGTACTCAGCCCATCTAGATGATCTCTTGAGAGGCTAGAGTCTTTGCCTGTGCTGTCTGTCAGTCAGCTTTATTGAATGTCTTCTATGAATAAGACCTTATAGGAAAAATTGTAAACAAAAGAAAGATACTAAAAAAACCTGCATTCTGATTGGGGTAATATGAAATGACTGGCCTCAGAATGTGTACTAGGGTCATATGAGGATGAATGCATTTGGGTGTTAGTGGACCAGGAATGCAGGGCTGGCTGGCTGGCTTCCCAGGGGCCAAATTTAATTTGGATCTTAAAAGTTGAGTCTATTTCCAGAAGGCGAAAGTAAAGGGTAACGTTTCAGGTAAAGAACTACTAGAAACTGAAATCCATAGATGGGGGGATGCTGGTGATTGGTGTTAGTTTTGAGTACACACAGTACCAACATATGTGTGAAATGTATTATCCATTTGCCGCACAACCATCAACAAAGCAGGTATTACCCCCATTTTCGGCCAAGAGGGATAAACTTGCTTTCTAGGTTAGAGGCCTATGTTTTTTAACACTTTGTCCTATTTGTCCAGTTTGTCACTGGAATTTGGCAGAAGAGGCTGAGGTGGGCATAAAGAGAGGTGACGTTGAGTAGATAGACTACACACATTGTAGTTTTGTGATGTGGGATTCCCCTCTGTATGCTATGGGTATGTTTTATTACCATTGGTTAATAAAGAAGCCGCTTAGTTTTTGTTGCTAATGCTGAGTCAGGAAGCTTGCTCTTAAAGGAACTGTGCCTCTGCTCGCTGCCAGTAAACAGAGCCCATTCGAGAAAATGCTGCTACTAAGAAGCCGGACTTAAGTGTGTTCTTTTGTGTCTAGACTTCCTTCCCAAGTTCTCTCAGTTTTTGTGTGGATGTAGGTGCCCCACACTGGTACCATTTTGTAAGCGGAGACTATGCTTGCTTTTCCGACTGCCCAGACCCAAATAATCACACAAAAACTATATTTATTACAAAACTGTTTGGCCAATTGCTTAGGTGTCTTTCTAGCTAGCTCTTACATCTTAAATTAACTCATTTCTATTAATCTATGTATTACCACTAGGCTGTGGCTTACCAGTACTGACATGTTACTCCTTTGGCAGCTAAGTGGCATCTCCTTGACTCTTTCATATCTCTGTTCAGATTTCCCACCTGGCTTTATTCTGCCCTGCCATATGCCAGATAGCTTTTTTATTAAGCAATGGTAATAAAACATACTCATTACAGAGGGGAATGCCACATCAGTTTTGATTTTGTTTTTTGTTTTTTTTTTCCCATTTTAATTTTGGTCAAGTTATATTGCTTCACTGAGTTTTTGTCTTCCCTTGTATGGAAAGCTAAGATAATACAGACTTCAGTGGGAGTAGTTATAAAGATTAAGATGAAGACTGTATAAAACACTTAGTTGACTGTCTGAGACTTGAACATCTTTAGTGGGTAGAAGCATTCTTTACATGTACAAACTGAAGGTGAATTTACCTTAGGCAGGCAAGGATAAGTGATTGAAGTTCTTCAGTGGGGGCATGATAAAGTCACATTTTATGACACTGAGCAAACAATACTGTTGTAAAATAAGGTGTGGATTAGGATACAGATAGTAAAAATGGAGAAAGTGAAGTTTCCAGAAATATCCCTATCTCCTCCTAATTTTCCCTTAGTCCCCCACCACACACTGTTGGCAGTGTTACACTATTAAGTATAGAGTTCATCCTAGGGACTACAGAGAGCTAGGCAAGAGGATTTACAGGTTCAAAGGCCTGATTAGTTCAACAGCATCTCCTAGAGGAGGAAGGGACCCTGCACGTGCAGTCTCCCAATCAGCCGCCTTTGTCTAGATTCCTTTTGCTCTTCCTCCAACTGAATTTAATGTTTTCCCATCCTCTGGCTGTAGTTATGCTGTCGCTGCTGTTACTCTGCTAAAGCCAAGCACCTGCCAGAGTCTGTTGGCACTGCACCAGTGCTCAGCTCGATGTGTGCTCCATTGCTGATATTCTTGTCAGATGCCAGGAAGGAGGCGGTCTGTCACATGTTTTTTCTTCCCCAATAGTGGCTGTTCCTGAAGTGATCATGATGAGAAGGAAATGCTAGGGAAATTAATTTGATGCTTATTGATGCAGTGAAATTACAATCAAGCAGATGGCCTTACCCTATCCAGTGATTTTTCTCTGACATTTCCTCTCAGGATCTGGACATCAAAGCTGTGTAAATAATAGAGGTGATAATTGATGGCCAAGGAATTTAGATCTCTGGGTCTGAAGGGGTAGGGAATGTTGTCATAGTGTTAGAGAATGCCATTGAAAAGAGCCTTGATGATTATGTTTAATCCAACAATTTTTCAGGTTTTTTTTCTTAAGAACTTATTCTTCAAACCAGACCACACATAGAATCCCAGTTTATTAAACTGAAACGGGATCAGAGCTGTCTCAGTTGAAATAAAGATAAAAAGGCCTCCAGGCCAACTAAGTAGCCCTCCTCTCCCCTTCTCAAAGGTAACCTGAGTGCTGACCCTGAACTTCAGAGCTGTGATCTATAGCTCGAAAACCACTGACTGTCAAGGAAACAGGTCTAGGGGTAGGAGTAGCTTTTCCAAGGTTGTTTGATTCTGCCTCTACTATTTTGGTTTTTTCCTTTGTATGTATGTATGCTAACATATGTAAAGGTTCATACACATATAAGAGGGGCCAGAGGATAACATCAAGTATTATTCTTTCTCAACACAGTGTACCATGTTCTGGTTTTGATTATTTTGTTGTTGTTGTTGTTGTTGTTGTTGTTGTTGTTGTTGGTGGTGGTGGTGGTGGTGGTGGTGGTGGTGGTGTGTGTAATGAATATGTGCACATGAGTACAGGTACCCATGTGAGTCCAAAAGAGGGTGTTAGATCTCCTGAATCTGGAGTTACACGCATTTATGAGCTTTAGACATGAGTACTAGGAGCCAAACTCAGGTCTTTTGTAAGAGAAGTAAGCACTCTTAACTACACAACCATCTCTCAAGCCCTGACCTTGTTTTTTGAGACAAATTCTCAAAGGTTCATCTTAGCCAGCTAACCATCAAGCCGCTTTCTTCAGCTAGCTCATCAGTGCTAAGATTACAGATACCTCTCCAGCTCTTTCATGTAGGTTTGTGATCAAACATAAATCCTCTTATTTGTACCACAAGGACTTTGGTAATTGAGCTATCCCTCTAGCTCTGGTTTTTGTTGTTTGTTTAAAGACAGAAACTAGCTTTGAATTGACTGTGTAACTGAAAATTGAGGATGACCTTGAACTTCTGTTCCATCTCTGCCGCTTTCCCCTCCTGAATGTTTGAGGTTACAGGCCTATACCGCCACTCTCAGTTTATGCAGTGCTGGGGATCAAACCTAAGTCTTCTTGCATGCTAGACAAAGCATTTTCCAGTTGACTACATTCCCCAACCCCTGCAGTTGCCTCTTTCATAGCATTTTCTTCTTTTCATTTTTGTTGTTGAAAATCAGAAACATCATTAGAATTTCCCCAGTACCACTTACTTTAGAACTTTTTGGTGTAGCTTTCTTCAGTTCAGTCCTGTCCCAGAGCACTGAACGTTGACGTCATGACCGCATCAACCTTCCATTCCCTCCTTCCCATGCCTACCTAGAGTTGAGTGTATGTGAATTTGCTACTAAGGCAGCCACTCTAAACTTTTGACTTCTTAGTGCTGCATTGGCCTGTCAAGCTTGTTGTGTAGTGGCTTCTAACCATAACAGCCCTCAAGGAGCCATGACAGGCTGCATTACTATTGTTGAAATTTGTCATCATGACATCCCCAGACAAACCAGAAAATAGAACCGAATTCTTTAACTCTTGGCAATTCTTATGTTTATGCAATAGCATTTGTCCTTGGGTTCTTACAGATCTTCTTTCTAACCACCTCAGTGCCCTACATGGTATGCCTAACCTCTGACCTAAAAGGCCAAAACTAAGAAATCTTACCCAGGTCTTGGAAGTCATATCAGTTTCCTTCCTATTGCAGCCAGTCAGTCACTTTGATATGGTCAAATCTGCCCCCAGAGACTTCTTCCCTTTCTGTCAGGCCTTGGAATAGCTGAGATATACTTATTTGCCTTCTCCTTCCCACAGCAGTGTTGTGACCTAGGCTACCATGCTAGCCTGAACCGGGCCCTGCGCACTTTCTTGTCTGCTGAATTAAATCTGGAACAATCGAAACATGAGGGTCTGGATGCTATCGAAAATGCAGTAGAAAACTTAGATGCCACCAGTGACAAACAGCGACTCATGGAGATGTACAACAATGTTTTCTGTCCCCCTATGAAATTTGAATTCCAGCCCCACATGGGAGATATGGTAAGACCTTTCCCTGTCCTGCACATTTCCCCAACGGGACTTGAATGTACTAGATGTATGTATAGTTTGTATTACATATAGACCACATCCAAAGGAGAGGGGCTTCCTGTCAGGTAAGTTGCACTCTATTCTTTCAGATCCTGCAGTATATCCTTTTGATTTTGACTGATGTGCTTATCCCTGAGCCTAGACTTATGTTCCATCTAAGTGGACTGGCCGAAGCTGTATAGTGGATAGTCTCCCAGAGGGTAGTCCACAGTCCCAAGTAACTGTGTACCAGAAACCTGACGGGGAGTGCCCAGGGAATGAAGAAAAGCACAGATACATGGTCTGAAAAGCAAGAGTCACATAAGTTGTGATAACTCTGATGGAGGATCCAACTATAAAATAAACCAGGACCTCAGCATGTTTATTATATAGAGCACAAGAAGAGGAGTTAGCTGATATTGGTAGGTATCAATAGGTTAACAATCTCAGGCTGTGACCATCCTAGATATGGAAGCTTCAATTGTTAGCTTTTGCACACATTGATCAGTTGATCATTGATCATAAACACTTTTTCTTGCACACACTGTCAACATTCACACTCAGACCAGAGGAAGGCTTTGCTAGTACAAAGTCTAGCCAGCATGGGGAAGACTTTGCTGTTCTCACGGGTCTGAGGCATTGATCCTTGACATGGCTAAGCACATGCCAACAATACACATTCATTCAGGACTTCATCCACTTTTTACAAATTCACTCAAAGCTTCCTCAGTTTTCCACAGTAGTGAGACCTAGAGGACTAGATAAGAAGAGGCCACTCAAATCAGCAGTGTGCTCTTGCCATGCACAGTGCTTCCCTTGGGATTAGCAGCTGGACTCTTTAGGAAACCCTGCTCTAGCCTGACAGCAATGGTGATTATATATATATATATATATATATCTCCAGACGATTAACTCTCATAGACAAGCCATGATGAAGTGACATCTCTGTCTTAGATATAAAATGTGAGGTAGTTTCTCTCCTTTTCTTCTTGGGGAAAACCAAGCTTCTTACAGTTTGTTTTGCATTGCTGTGGCTGAGGAGATGTCAGCATCTAAACAGATGGGGGAGGTATATTACCAACCTCCAGGAAGTTCTATTTTTCACCTGCCTTGAATTCTGTTCAAATTTGTCTTCTCTAGCTGCCACTGAGATTCCTTCCCAAAATGAGTGGAACCTAGGACTAACTGAATGGACTGGTGTATTTTCTGGTGTTCTCTGAGTTCTTTTCTGAGCCAAACAGCTTGTCTCCATAAAGGGAAATCCAGATGATGGGTACTCAGGCCCCCTCCTTCCCCTGTCAGAACCACATTTCCATACTCTAAAGCACAGCTGGAATGCATTACCTTGCATCCTGGCTGAAGATCACTGGCAAAGCATGCATCAGCAACTTTGCTGCTCTTCAGCAAAACAGGCTTGGAGATAATTTTTTCTCTTAATTCTCCCATGGTAGGCCTGGGTGACTTTAAAAACTGATAATTAATTCTTTTGCCCTGTATATTGTACAACTGATCAGTGACTTGACCAGAAAAAGGGCTAAAACTTCACAAGATTTCACATTTTGGCTTAGAAATGAAAAGTCATCCTTGGGCCCCACTGCCAGTCTTTCTGAATTATTGTGGGTTGTATGAGGCAGAAGGAAGGAGCTGCCTGGAAGTCCTTAAAATAGGGCCAAAGTTCAGGTGGCATTTTAACTGGAAGCTCTGAAATAGGCAATATCAGTGTTCTTGGGCCGTAGCACATGAGCTGATGTCAGCTGCTCTCAGATGCACTAGGAATTGGTGCACCCAGAGGTCTGAGGGACACTGGATGCCTGACTGGTGACATCAGACAGTCAGAGACAGAAATTTCATTCTTGGCACTAACCCAACTGGCCACCAAGCTTTTCTCCATTATGTCTGCTTATCCAAAAGCCGTCGTGAAATCAGCTCTAAATTTTGGGCCAGCCTCTCAGCTGAAGAAGAGGTCAAATCAGTTGGAATCTTAAATACCAGTGAAGAAAAAGGTCTATTTCTGGTCCCCAACACTTGAAGAGAAGTTTTATTTTTTGAGTAAGAGAATGGTTTACAAATATATGAATATACTCACTCTTTGCTGAGGGTGAAGGAGCCCAATTCTATTCAGATGTTTCTCTTCTGATAAGAGCTAAAGGACACTGCCTCTACATGGCGTTGTACCCTCCATCTCCCAGTCTTCTGCCTCTCATCACTCATCCAGGGGATTAGATTACACATGCCATAGCCTTACCTTTATCAAGGGTCAACTGTTCCTTCACAGAAGATAAAGTTGGTTGGTAATTCACTGGGGTTTGGAGTGCAGGGGATCTCATACCTAGTAGGCTATAATGATAGCTATTTAGAGGACATCAAGTTCCATCTGATCTCATGCCCTCTGGAATCCTCTAGCATAGCCCATGAACGTGTCCCATATTCACATGAACTCTTTCCCATTGAGTCAAAGCTCTCGTGCATGGCCCAGATTTATAAACATACTGAGTTCCAACAGCAGCAAGTTAACTTCCTGGACCACTTCTCTCCTGCTTTTTAACTCTAGTGTGTGAAGTGGGAGGAGGGAAGCACCAGAGAGGTGACTACTTGGACCTTTGGCCAAGAACTCTTCATTATGCCAAAGCATTGGGTTTCTGGACCAGAGGTTGCCTGCAGCACTCTTTTTCTAGCCGCCTCAGAATTCCATAGAGCTGGAGACCCTGCTAGACTGTAGACCCCTGACAACCACTTGCCTGCCTATCGATTCCAAAGAGAGAAATGGGGACTTTCCAAACAGATCTCCCTTCCTGTTTCTTTCTGTATTGTTTGCTCTAGAAGTTCACACACATTGTCTTTGGATTTTGTTTGCATGTAGAAACTGCAAGTTGTCTAGTAGTTGGGATACAAAACAGTGTGAATCTTTTCATGAGCAATAGTGAGAACTCTGGATTCCTCAAAAAACCTGTGTCCTCTTTCTGACCTGTGTTGCTTTTTCTGACAGGCCTCTCAGCTCTGTGCCCAGCAGCCTGTCCAGAGTGAGCTGGTGCAGAGATGCCAGCAACTGCAGTCTCGCTTATCCACTTTGAAGATTGAGAACGAAGAGGTGTGTTTCCTTCCTAGCAGCTCAGAGCCACTGTTTGCTTGTTGAACTACTTGTGGCTGTCCATCAGGGGCAGGTGGAGGGAGCATGCAGAGAATGTCCGGGCTATTGCAAAGATTTCCTGGCCACATGGAAGGTTGGGCTTTCCCCGCTGCTGCATCCTGCCCTTGAAATCCAGGAAGTTGTTCGTACATTGCCAAAGGTTGTGCTCTATTTTGAGCTTTTACAAAATGCTCCTCTCCACTACACATTTAATCAAAGTAGCACTTGGCCACTGTACCAACAAAATCAAATTTCTGAAATGACCCCCCTCATGACTGGCTTTCCCCAGCATTTCAAAAAGAAACCATTGACTTTGACACTTCAGACATCTCTAATATCTTAAAAGAGGATGACTTTTTTCTTTCTAAATAAAGCATATTTTCTTTTAATAAGTAGTTTAAGGCAATTTGATCAGTAATCTAACTTTTTGTTGAGAGCAGATGGCTTCTTACCGTGTATCCGTAAGTCTTAATTTTACTAGGAAGGAATAGTTTTGGATCAGTTAGTTTGCCAATAGGGAAACAAATTCATTGATTGGTTGAAGGACTCTAGGAACACTGAAGGACTAGACTTATCGCATATTTTAGCTAGTTCTGGTATGATGGCCATATTGGTTTGTAATTATTTTGTTTTTTTTTCTTTGTATCTCTATTATAATAAAATAGTATTAAATCTTAAAAGTGAACTTTGGGGTTGGAGAGATGGTTGAGTGGTTAAAAGCACTGGATGTTTTTGCAGAGGACCCAGGCTTGGCTTCTAGGCACCTGCAAGGTGGGTCATAACCATCCATAACTTTAATTCCTGCAGCTCCAACATCCTCTTCTGGCCTCCACAGGCACCAAGCCGCAAGACATATACACGCATACTGGCAAAACATCCTTACACTTACAATATGTCTTTTTGATAAAAGTAAACATTATATAAAAGAACTGAGTTAGGTACATAGAAAAGGAGTAGGGTGTTCAGGTGTTTGCCGGAGAGAGCAGCATGCTGGAGCAGAGTTCCTGTGGTGTTCATCACTCAGCACTGTCAAGTGAGAAGTGGAACTGTCCTTCCCTACCCATCTTGAGAAGCATACTTCCTCTCAAGCATTTCCTAGTTGTTGCATCACCTGCTATTTTATAGACTGTCTCTCATGATATTTTTGGTGATTATGATTATAGGTGAAAAAAACAATGGAGGCTACCCTGCAGACCATTCAAGACATCGTGACTGTTGAGGATTTTGATGTGTCTGACTGCTTCCAGTACAGCAATTCTATGGAGTCTGTCAAATCAACGGTCTCAGAAACTTTCATGAGCAAGCCCAGCATTGCTAAAAGGAGAGCTAACCAGCAAGAGACGGAGCAGTTTTATTTCACGGTAAGGGTACTCATTCACTTTAAAGGGACGTGAGTAGAGACTGTGACACCTAAGGGAGCTTTGGAAATCAAGAGTTTTTGTCAACTGTCTAAAAAGCAAGCTTTGAATACATCAGATTTAAATCTGGCATACTTGCTCACCATCTCTACACTTAAAGCAAATGCATTTACAAAATGTATATATCTACCAGGGACCTCAAAGAAAGGGGTGCTCCTAAATTAACTACTAAGAAAAAGAAAGTAAACTTTAACCAGATAGTATGCTTTTATTTGAAAGTAGTCCTTGCAGTCACAGAAGAGCATAACAATGGGCTTAGCTTCTTGGTTTTTGAGAACTATATTTAAATATCTTTGCCAATATGTATCTTAATTTAAAAGTCATATAACTTTCATTATTAGGACTTTTTTGCAATATTGGCAATTATCAAGAATTCTAAAGCAGTATATTTTACCCATTGTTCTCAAGTCTCCTTTTAGATAGGTGTGTGTGTGTGTGTGTGTGTGTGTGTGTGTGTGTTAATAGTTCTTTGAAAGGTTGCTAGCTGGTCTTCTATGCTGCTTCTTAATAATTAAGTTATCTTGAACTTGCCAAGTAGGACCTATTGCTTGCACTAAAATTTATTTCCTTATCTTTTAAAGTCCAAGAAAGGAAAAAATGACTTTGCAGTTGTAAGAAGAAGCATGGCCATTGAAAATGCACCCTGGCCAAATGAGAGGGCCTCACTTGCCTTCCGTCGTGAAGCACACTCAGCATGGAGCAAATTATGTTTTTCTTCCAGCTAGGACAATTTGCTTAATTTTTCTTTGAACATTGTCCTTTTTTCTTTAAGAGCACTAATATGATTGATTGGTGTTTTTGTAAGTCTGGTTCAATTAGTTAAGCAGCAAATCTCTGGTGGTTTTGTTGTTTTAAATCCCAGTGAAGACTTTCGAAAGGGTATTATTCAAGAGTATTGTTCTAAAACAACTGAATTTTTTGTTACATAAAAAGCTTAAGTGATTTTATTTTTAAAACTGAAAACATATAACACATTTTACTGCAAAAACATTTTAAAACATGGTCATTATATAAAACTTAAATGAAAAGGAAGAAAATAAATACATATGAGCATGTATTTAAAATTATATTTATAAAAGGAGGCACCTTTGTATTTATTGTATTGTAAGTTTAAGTCATTTGGTTATATATTCTAGTTGTTTTGGGGCTTTTGTTTGTTTCTTGGTGGAACTTTCATATCTGCTAGGCAACAGCTGCACCACTAAGCTCTGTGTCTGACCCATATTATATTTTCTAAGCATATGCAAATCTATACAGAGAGATAGAATGACGCATTGCCTAGTTCATGGTGCTCAGTAACTGCTATTCATTTTACCATCATCATTATTAATCCATTCATCAATCATTCTTAAATTACTCACTGGTTATTTGCCATGTATTTACTATATCCTAGATTTTATGCCACTAGTTGGAATGTTTAGAGTATAAGAGAAAGAAGATAATGAAGGATTAGGCATATACAGAGAGAACTTTGATTTTGACTTCATATATTTCTAACCAGTTTCTTAAAGGCATGAATATGTGTGAGCAGCAACAGAGAATGGTGCTAGGGGAAGCATCACACAAACTGACTTTTGTGCTTGGTTTTTAATATGAGTACGTCAAACAGGATTGTGAAGGAGACCAGAAATTATTACTAAATTTATTATTAAAAATATTTTCAATTCAGTTTTTATTACCTGGGAATACCATACATGTATTTGCATTTGTATTTCCATACATACAATGTATTTGACCATTTCCCCATTCAACTCCTCCAGTCAAGAAATTTGGAGGATGCCAGTTGGTAGTGGTGCACAGCTTTAATCTCAGCACTCAGGAGGCAGAGGCAGGCAGATCTCTGTGAGTTTGAGGCCATCCTGGTCTACAGAGCAAGTTCCAGGACAGCCAGGGCTACACAAAGAAACCCTGTCTTGAAAAACTAAAATGAGGGGGGAAAAAAGAAAAATTTTAGGAGCTTAGGAGCTAGGGGGACAGCTTAGTCTGTAAAGTGCATGCCACACAAGCATGAAGACCTAAGTTTGAACTCATGTAAAAGAAACCAGCTAATTTCTTAGCTGGGGAACAAAAACAGGAAGATGGATCCCTGGCTCTTACTAGCCAGCCAGTCTAGTGAATTGTTGAACTCCAGGTTCAGTGAGAGTTCTTGCCTCAAAAAATAAAGTAGAGAGCAATTGAGGAAGATGCTGTGACTAACACTGTAGACCAGGCTGGCCTTGAACTCACAGAGATCTGCCTGTCTCTGCCTCCTGAGTACTGGGATCAAAGCTGTGCACCACCACCGCCCAGCCAGAATTACTTTTTGACTTAAATGAATCTGTACTATATATATTCAGAAGTTGATATCTGGTCCCAAACAAGAAGGCTGATGAGATGCCTCAGCGCTTCTAAGAACTCACACTGGTCTTGGAGAAGACCACATCCAGGCGCTCACAACTGCCCATAACTCTAGATCCTCCCTGGCCTCTATGGACACCAGCACTCACATGTCCACACAAAGATACATAATTAAAATGAAATTTTTTAAAAAAGAAATAACTTTATTCAAACTGATGGCCTCTAAAATCCTGCCTAACTGTTCCCCTTTTATCTCAATACAGTGGGGTCCTGTAGCCCATTTCCTGACTTTGGTGACCATGGTACTCCTTGTCAAATTATTGTGCACATTGCTTTGACTATTAGAAATTAGTTTTGGTTTATCTAGTAACAAATTTGCATGAATTCATTATTTTCGTGACCAGATCTGAAATATGTCAGGTAATTTATCTTCTGATAGCAGCATTTTTGGTGGTGTTTGTGAAGTAGATAAACTGAGGGGCTGTCTATGCTTGTCAAGCCATGCAAAAAAATCAGAGAGGCACATTTGGAAGTTCCCTGCTTTTGGAAAGTTGTAAAGAGATCCCTCGTTACGGCTTGACTCCTAGGTAGTGTTTTTAGGGACCATGTAGGCTTTTGAGATAGTTTTCTGACTGCTTATAACTGTCATCAGATTAATTTGCCCATGTGATATCAATTAGAAAATTGAAGTATGCCTTACAAAGGTCAATTGCTAGCAAAGTCTGTAGAAAACTAAAATTTTAAACTTGAAGCAGTTTTTAAATATTATCTAACCCAATCTTTTCATTTGAAAGCTTTGGAAAAAATGGACAAACAAATACAGGGGGATGATAGCTTAAACAAGGCCTTCATCAGTGGCCGAACCCAGAACTCAGGTCAGCTGCTCGTCACGGGCTTTCCTTGTGTGCCCTGCTCCCTTATTATAAGAAGGGAAGTCTTTTCTGACCTCCTGTCTTTGTGTTTGTCACTTATCTTCTGTAGTACATCATCCCTCAGTGTCGTCTTCTTTTTCTTGTTGCATTATAAAAAGACTCAGCTATTTCAAAGAAAACTAAGGAGAAAGTAGAGCCTTACCTTACCCCAATGCATACTTTTCCTCCTGTCTGCCATGGAGTGAAACTAGATTATTTTGTCCTTTCGGAGATTTTGTGTGCATAGGCAACCGATGATGTATCAGCAAGTGCCCCTTAACACAATAAATGACACTGGAAATTGTAATAAATGGGGACTTAGTAGTTAAGAGTGCCTGCCTAGCATGTATGACACTGAGTTCCGTCTTCAGCTCTGCAAGAGAGATGTTATGAAGTAAATGTAATGAACAGAATTGTACCACTTTCACTGTCTTCCACTTTACTTTGATAACATTTCGAACATTATTCATGTTAGTCTAAAATGATTTGTCCCACATCACACACAGATCCCTTTCCAATAGCTGTACAAAACTCCATTTTATAGTTACATCATCTTTATTTTACCAGTTCTGTGCTGTGAGTAGAAGTCCTCTCTGGTTGACCAAGCATCATCAAAGCCTTAGAAAGCTAGAGTTTCTCCTAAATATTTATTTTTAAACCAAACATCCTA